CCCGACTTATTTCTATTCAGCCCCCATCCACTATTTCCGCTCTATTAAGACGTCCATCCCTTTATATCGTGTACTAATAGGGTCGTTATGAAGCCTTAGAGCTTTCTTCTCTAAAGGACAAAAGAACATAAACTATGGCTTTGCGCGAGAATCTTGTGTCCGCTAGTCTGAGGAGGTCTTGTCAGACAATTTAAACCCTCGAGAGAATGTGTAAAAAGAGGCATGATGCTTCCCAGTACACTCTCATGTTCGCATAAGAGGGTTATCCTGTGGTCTAATAAGTCAGCATACAGCAGCACTACTGTAGAGACACAAAAGGACTACTGGACACTTTATCCTTTCTCAACAGGCTTTCTATACATAGAAATAAGAAAACAAGAATTTATGGATATTAATAATTATGTATACACGTCAGGCACGTATTCTTCAAGCTTCTCAAAGGGCCATATGCACCTAGAAAAAATAACAAAGGATCTGTGGCTGTCTTGGTAGATACTATTTAGTCCCAAAAGACTATAAAACAATTGTTTATGTCCTCTGATGTAAGCCCAAGTGCAGGCAGAAAATCTGGAGTTTTGTTTTAAAAGACAGCAATCCAGTTTCGTAAAAAAAAAAACGCATCTTTGACTCTCAACTGCCAGTCGCTAAAATATTTTCCCTGCCTTTTTTATAAGGATAGTGATACCAGACTAGGGCATAATGTACGCCTTGTTTTAAACCATCAAGTGGAATTGATAACTCATTGTCGTCCAAAACTGTCTTATAAAATAAAACTCCAGAAATACCGTTTTCTGTGAGTGCAAGAAAGGACTGATCAATGTTCTACTCTGTGTGACATCAACATAATGCGTGCCCTCTTCATGCGTTGCACTCGTGTTTTCACTGCTGCATCCTTCTCTTTCATCTCAGTATTGACCTTCTATTAATTGTTCGCTGAGATCTGTTGTCTGTTTCCTGGTTCCAGATTTCCTCTCTTTTGTGGCTTTGTCCCTGATGCACACAGCAGTTACATTAAGACGACAATTGATAAAACTATGTATTATACACGTAACTGGAAAAACTTTAACGAAATGAGCGCTTGACTTTGGCTAGCGACCATGTGAATCGTGAAGCTCATGCATACATTGAGGTTAGGTAAGAAAGGAACAATTTCAGGCCACGTGATAACTGAGCATCGGAAAACAGACGTTTTGAATACTGTTTCCATGTTCTTTCGGACAAGATTGTGTTATTGACCCCTGGTTGTCGCATTAAAGGGTGTATGAGGGAGAGGGAGAGAGTGAGAGGGGTGGGGGACGAGTGTTTGTGTGCGTGAGTAGATATTTGTTAACGTGGATATATGTGAGTACGTATGTGTGTATAACTGTGTGTGTATGTTTGTGTGTGTGTGTGTGTGTGTGTGTGTGTGTGTGTTTGTCTGTGTGTGTCTGTTTACAAGTTGCGTGTGTCTGTGTGTATGTGCGTGTGTTCCGGAGGTGGGGTGTTAAGTTTTGTCAGGTCAGAATACCAAACGTGAATAAAAATAGAACAGACAGACAGACAGAGAGACAGACAGAGAGACAGACAGACAGACAGACAGACAGACAGACAGACAGACAGACAGACAGACAGACAAACCGACAGATGAGTGGAAGCCAAACAGCAAAAAGAGGGGAAGGCAGAAAGAGTGAGCGAGAGAGAGAGAGAGAGAAAGAGAGAGAGAGAGAGAGGGAGAGAGAGGGAGAGAGAAAGAGAGAAGGGGAAGAAAAGAAAGTAGCTACTAATTGAAAAAACGACCAAGGAACGTGTCAAAGAACAGACACGTGCAAGACTGCCCCTGATTGTTAAAACCAACTTTGCAATTTCTATTTAATTTAGATCGTGGAAAACGGGGGAAAACTGAACTCAATACCCTGGTTATCTCATTCGCGTGTCACTGGAACCCAGGCCACTGGCAGTACTACCGATCTCTTTGCTGAAATCCACACTGCGAAAAGCATCGATTCCCTTTGGGTTGAGAACACATGAGCGAGTACCTTCAACGATCCCCCCCCCCCCCCTAGCAGAAATAAAGCTTAGACTCTACAATATGGTTCCCTCCTCCGTTTGAGATTCTAAAAATAAAGGGTCATCGGAATCCTTGGGGCAAAATCCATTTTTTTTTCTTTTCAATGATTGACTAATTTTCTTGTAAACAAAGAATTGGACAACAAATACTCCAGTAAGAACTTCTATTTGAGGAACGAACCAGCATAAGAATATTATTGTCTAACACGTTAGTTGTTTGAAACGGGGTTTTTTGTTTGTTTGTTGTTGTTGTTTTGGGGGTGGGGGGGGGGGGTTGGAACGAGTGATCCATCCTATTTTTGTGCTGCAAAATCTTTGGCAGAGCAATAGATCTGGTAATAATTCCCCATGGCCACCTTGAAACAAAGACAGCTAACTTAATAAAAGAAGGTTCACACTCTAAAAACAATCGTCCTCAAAAGTCAATACATATTTTATAGACGCCACTGTGGGTGCTGATAAAGTAGTTTGATTTGTTTCTAAAAACGGAGTGCGCTTTGAACAATCTTTGCTCCAACTCCTGTACAAGATACGTCACCATCCCCCCCCCCCCCCCCTCAAAAATGTTTCAAATGCAAGATTACAAATAATTGTGTTACCAGAATTTTTAGGACGTTTCCTTTAGGCTCTCAAACAGAGGTGTGAACCATCTCATCCAACATTGGATATAGCAAGTATCGGTTCTCCTTAGTGGTCTTTAGGAGCTGGCAGTATCGACTCCCCTGGTCTAAGATGTTTGACAGGTACTGGGGCTATGAAGAAATTCAATTTGTTGAGAGAAGCCGGGGCGATAATTGGCAGTGTTTCTTTGCTAAACCAAGATGGAAGGTCTCGATTTCTTGGGGGACTGTGTCTGTCTCGTGGATTTAGCGAGCGGTGACGTAAACAATTCTCTGAATGGATATCCGTCCCCCTCAGTGACACGTACGTGTTGTGGCGGTGTCGGGTCAAGAGACGTTTCCTCTCTGCGGACCCTTGAATCATGAGTTGTTACCGGCTGTTCTGGAGACTTATGTTGTGTACTTTTCGTTTCTGGGGCTCGTACATGCAGATGCATTTGTGCTGGGAAAACGTTTTGAAAGAAATGTCAGAAAAACCTGCTTCCTATGTACGATTGTTTGTCTCCAGTCTGTGGTCAAAGCGAATCAGTTCACCAAAGTGAAATCCCAAGATGCTATTGAGAAGATCAAACCATTGATAAAAGCAATAGAACGTGTTGAAACAATAGTGTCGATTATATCGAAAACAGAACAAGTTTGATTCCTCGTGAGAAAAAAGTACGATAATAATATTTATTTACAAATTTAATAAAAATTGCCAAAGCAACACCATGGTTGAAATTAAGATGATTTATGAAATATCAGAAATCATTTCTATTATGTCACCTTTGTCTCGGAAAATCACTTTAACAAATCCAACTTTTAAAAATAAAAATGAGAGCATTGATGGCCCAAGGTTGTT